CTTCGCTGGACCCTGTCTGCTTTCTGGCACACAGACCTGCTCTGGCAGTGTACTGGAGCTTTAGAATAAAAGAGCTGATCTGCAGGCTCCTGCTGGCTCCCGCAAAGATAGCGAGAGGTGCAGCAGAGGAGGCAGGAGGGCTGGCAGGTCACTTGAACCAGCTTTTTTGCAAGTGCCCAATAACTGAGGATTTTTTTGGGGGGTCTGACCTCAGAGCTGCACATGAAGTAAGGGGGGATCCTACAGGAACACGCCAGGAGGTATCTGCTGCTGGCTGGAAAGGTCGGGCTTTTCCTCAGGCCACCTACATCTGTTCTACCAGCCCGACTTGCTGGACATGTGAGGGGTGGGTAGGACACAGCTCCCTGAAGTTGCAAGGCTGTTGTGCTGTTGTGAGAACAAGTTCATTAGTAGCTCTGAAATACTTAGATGCTTATGGGTGCTGTAGCAGCGATTTAGCAGAGACAGCCGTAAGGCAATTAAATTACTGTCTTCAAACGGAACTGAATATTTAGGTATATAAGCATGTGTGTCGGTCTTTTGGTGAAAAAATGAGTTAAAGCAGTGATTTCCACCCCCACTACCACTACTTCCTTCCATGCAGGGGCTGGTAAGTAAACACTTGGGTGAATAAACACTTATCATCTGACCTGCACCCAAAGAAATAATTTTGAAGTTTCCCATGCTTACCTCTGCAGTCTTAGTCTTCTAGTGTAGTTCTCTTGAGTAAATGAAATATGAAGGTGGTGCAAGATTGTTTTGTGGATCAATAACCCGTTGAAAGGCAGAAGATTATATGCTTTCAGAAGGAGGATTGTCTGCTGGTCCTGCAGGAACGTAAGCTGGGCTTTGGGTCTATACAAGGAGGCAAATAACGAGCTGGAACCTTGGTGTTGGTACAGAATTTTTCAGGATTGTAAAAACTAAAGGTGTAGAGGGGTCTCTCAAGGGTGAGTAACTGAGCAATCAAGCAACAGAGAAAATGGTGTCAACAAAAGCAAAGTATTGTACATGGGGGAGACATCACTAACTGCATGTGCAGCGGCAGGCTCCTGTGTAGCTCTTTCAAGGAGGAAAAGACATTTTGCAGCCCACATACAAATTTCCAGAAATGCATACACAGTGCTGGGAAGTGGTCAGAAACCAAACAGGGGATTGAGAGCTTGTAGAAAAGGGACAGACAGCAAAACCAGCACTCGGCCGTAGTCATGCTGCGCGCGCTCCGCATGTCCTGTCATGGTCCCTCCAGGGCTGAGTGCAGCTGGGGAAGCCCCACAGGAGCAGGAGCTGGACCTGGAGGAGAGAAGAGGGGAGAAGGTCAGTGGGCTGAAAAACTGCAGGTCGCCTGGGGAAAGTGAGAGGAAGAAAATTTCTCATCGTTTGTCGTAGCAGAATTGGAAACCACCTGGTTTTATTGTTGGGCAGCAGGCCCCACCGGGAATACTCATCTTTCAGACATCCCTTATCTGTTTTTATCCTCCTAGTGGCAGATGCAGGCTGCTGACAAGTACTGCATTCCCCATGCAGGGAATAGTGACAGAGCAGCATTGCTGGGATGCAGAAGAATGTACTGGTGGTGTGATGAAGAGGGGCTAAAGCATTGCCGGGAAGTGGAGGTGCCTGGGTGGGTCAAAGGCAGGAGAGCGGCACCAGTGCTGAGTCCAGCTGAGCTGTTCAGGGGGCACCTACCCCTGTGCTAAAGAGCATGGCAAGACGCGGCCTGGGCCCTGCTCTGACAGCCAGGCTGAGGTCTGTGAGAGGCTGAGGTAGGTCGGAGAAACACCAAGACAACGGCTTCTGCTGTGCAAAAATGTGTCCCATGCCCGGGTTCTAAATTCACATTGGCTGCTGCGTTTTTTAAGACATTTCTTGGCAGGAGAGCATTCAAGTCTGTTCCGGAGGGTATGTTCCTATATGTGCCCTGCCTGGATTTTAGTTTGTTATAAAAGGAGAGGTTCTTTAAGAAGCTACTCACATGTATTTCTAGGCCAGCACATGGAAAAATACTTACCTTTGCAAACTCTTTTCACTGCGTGGGTTGTTAGCAGTCTTCTGTTCCTGAGCTCCTGGGGCTGCTGTGGTACCACAGGAAATAACAGATCAGCTTGGATTTTGCAGATCCACGATGTTCTCAGGGAAGTGGAATTGCCTTCAGTATTAGCCGGAAAAGCCACCTGTCCGTGTGCCTGAGGGGGGTGAGCTGGGGAGCGGAGGGAGTACCTGGCCTGCTTGTTAGGAGAGCTGACCATGCGTGATGAGTAAAGCGCCAGGAGCTGGCCTCCAGCTCAGCGTACTAAAAGCAGCCAGACAGTCGAGTCAGATTGCTGGTTTGGAAAAGCAGAGGCTAAAGCTAAATTCTATTCTCCCTTGCGTTTCCCTCTACAGCTCACCGCTTGCCTCCCAGCCTCTCCTTTGCCCACCTCTGCTCTTCTGGGAGCTGGGAGTGCTCGCATCGGATGACTTCTGCTACGTTGCAGGGAGGCTGTGTGTTTAAGGTGTGAGCCCCTGCGGGAGCCATTCATTCTGTGCCCGCTGCAGCGGGCGCCGGTCACCCCATTCCTCAGTGCTCTGTCTGCTTTTTTGGTGATTGGGGTCCGTGGGCAGTAACAGGCCCAGCCCCTTGTGCACAGGGCAAGTTTAGTTTTCAGTTTGTTTGCCTGAAATTTGGTCGGCTCCATGTGTGGCCCTGACAGTCCCCTGTGGGTCAGAGGCTGCAGCTTGGCCGTTGCTGGGAACAGGATGCCTCGCTGCAGAAAGTGCAGGATGTCGGTTTTACACTTTTCTCAGGGTTGGGGGCACTTTCTGGGAAAGTAAAAAACAGGCTTCAGGCAAACTTGTCTGGCTGCTGCCCATGCATCAGCTGTGCAGGCTCTTCAAGGCAACCCGTTCCTTGACAAACCTTGTTAAACTCTTAGGGTGATTATGGGTTTCGTGGTCTAATTACAGTGTGAAAAAACATTTCCTATTATTAGTTTTGAATGTGCTGCTTCCCACGTAATTGTTGTGATGCAGACACACAGTCCAGTCTTCTCCCTTCTCCCTTCTTTGTGAAGCGGAGGACACTTTGCATCAAGGGGTGCTGCACATTTTAACAACAGAAGCCACAAACTGAAATAGTAAAGCATCACAGAGCAGCTCATTGGTTTTGTTTTCTTTAATCCTTAGACATTTCCAGTATAAATCATGCCTGGGATTAGCAGGATTTTTGCATGCAGGGAATATTTTGCTTTAGATATTCCCAAGAGAGAGAAATTCTTAAAACTGTGTTTCCTTCCCTTTGCCTGTGGGAGAGGGGGATGCTCTTGTGCTTCCTTTGGCATTGCTCCAGCATTACGGAGCGGCTCTGCTCCAGCTGGGACAGTCAAGCAGATTTATTAATGCGGGGGGGCTTGTTTTGTTGTGAGGAGCTAAGGGCTGGGGTTTGTCTGCTGGCTGAGAGGAAAATGGGGCAAAGCGCATTTCTCACCTTTGTGAATGGTTGCTCTGCTTGGGCAGAGCTTGTCCTTCCTCTGCATCGAGAGGAGTTGAGGAACTCCAGGCTCCTGACCAGCTTACCTAAGCTGTAGGGTGTGTGAAAGGCTGCTCTGAAACACGCAGCATCTGACCAGAATGTAGATTTTAAAAGCCACAAGTATTTTGAACTCTGCTGCAAGCTTTGGGCCTGGCAGGGAATCAAATAGGGCAGCTCTAGTCACTGCTTTCAGCAAGCAATTTGGGTTTGACTCAAAAAAGAACAGAAGGCCAACGGTTTTGGGAAAAGTCTCCCAGCAATCAGTGCTCTGTCAGTGCAAATATTTCTCTTGGTGTCACGCGGGGATTAGCTCTGTGAATCCTGGCTCCGCTCGCCCTTAGAGTTCGCTGAACCAAACACAACCGGAGCAGCCATTCTTGTGGAGGGCTGTGGCTTTTGTGGTGAAGCTCCCAAGCTCCAGTGTGCCTGATTTTCCTCGTATCACGGAGCGTGCCCCAGCCTCATGGTACAAGGCTGGGTTGGAGGAGGCTGCAGGCAGGAGCAAAGAAGCCTTTGCAGGGATCTGGGGAGATGAGGGAGACCCTGCCGCCTTCCTGTGCTGCTCCGTGCGTCCTAAGCTCCCTCCTGGTGCTGGGGCTGCCTCTGGCCCTGCACACTTTTCTCTGCTGCTGCCTCTCTCATGAGCCCAGGACTGCAGTTCTTGAATCATAAACAATTTCTTTTAAACACCTTGCAATCTTTCCTGGCAGGAGGCTGGCTCTGCATGCTCTTTGGCTGAGATCTGGGAATAGGTAAATACCCGGTCCTGCATCTGTGAGCCACGCAACTCCAGCAGCTGGGAGCGAGGACTCACGCTCATGTGTGTGCCCGGGCTGTGAATGCTGAATGGGCGCCCTGTGTTGAGCCAGGCCAGGGTCAGGCTGCCTGTGCAAGAGGTGGAGATCTGCAGGAGCAGGGGTGGGAGGTGCAGAGCTATGAGCCTTGACGCAGAAGATGAATCCCTCCAAGCCCAAGCACCGACTTGCGCTAACGCCACCTGCCATGGGGCTGCAGGGCCAGGAGGCTTCGGGGCACTTGGAGTGGGGTTTTGGCAGTCTGTGCCCTGCCCACGCAACAGGGTGGGCAAAAGGGGGGTGGCTGTTTGTGCTGGTGTGAACTGCGGCGGTGGTGCTCTCTGAAGAGCCCCAGCATGGTGGGTGCCTGGCACTGTGGGCTGACCGCTCGTTTCTCCTTCCTGCCAGGTCTGCCCATCAGCACCTACGCCAAGTACTGCTACCGGAAACTCCAGAAAGTAGCTGTCACCGGAGGCAAAAAGGTGAGTGCCCGCTCCGGCTCTGGGGCCTGTAGGCTGTCTGTGCAGCACCCTACTGCTCCGGTGACCCTTGCAGGTCACCGCTGATTCAGGGGTGGGAAATGGAGGTAGGGGGAGCCGGGGAAGTTTGCTCAGGGCTCATCTCCCTCTGAACGTATGGGAGAAGGCTGCTGCCCAGGTCCCACCATCCTGCCAGCAGACGGCAGTGCATGCCGTGCTGGCAGCTGCGCGGCTGAGTGCTCATGCTCTCTGCCCTTAGGGACGTGGAGGACAAACCTGGCTGGCGTGGAGGGGGAGCCTCCATGCTCTGCGTTATCTGGAAATCCCCCCCACCTCCTCAGTTTCCTCTGCACAGTTCTGCGTGGGGCTGTGAAAGCTAGCAGGCGGCCCCAGCCTGTCCATCCCAGGTCTCTGAGCTAGATCTGGTCATCTTTTATTTCTGCAAATCCCTCTGGGGCCTCCCCGCCATCTGGACTCCATATACAGTGAGCAAATAGCTGAAATACCTCGGGAGGAGTGGAGGCTCCCGGCATT